TTAGGGTTTATAAGGGTTTAGGGTACATTAGTCTCAGTGCGTGATTTCTGCAGAACCATTGCCTGATGATTTGGCCTGCCTTTCTCTAAAGCTCATTCCTTACGTGCGTCGTTAGCATCCCATTAAGTAGTCAATCTGGCTTGTCACTTGCTTTTTTGAAGCAGCTGGTACATGGCTGTCAGATGCTGCCCTGTAGGTACTTCTCTCTAGCACTTCTGGGCCGCTGGATGCGACTAGATGCTGTCATTAACTTAGGGGCTGAGTACCCTNNTTTTGAGTTATAGTAGGATTATAAGAGCCCCAAATGGTTAAAGGTTACCTACTCAGCCACTACGCCTTCTTCTATAGTGCAAGTGTACCGTTGTGTCACCATGTCCGTCTCTAGCCCTGCGTCAAGCATTGCCTTGCGAGCCCCTACTCGGTCTATGTCACAATGCCAGCCTTGTAAAATCCGACCACGATGACGACAGCGACCAATGCTGCTTCGGGGCTGCTGCCACTTTCGGGTTTAGGGCGTCGGGTACTACTCAGTCCTACCACCACACCACCACACCCACCAACAACGCGATGACTACGACGTCGAAAACTACTACTCCCGGTAAGCAGCAAAGCTGGTTCATTACTCCTGGTTCTTACCATACTTTACATAATGCGTCGTTATCTTCATGCCCCATCACTCGACTTAACATTGCAATGCAGTACATGCTGCATTTAAGCTCGTTGCTTTCCCGTGCTTGCTTCACTCTGTAGCATAGCTATTTAAGTATTGTTCTGCCCTGTCATCTATACTTAACCACTTATTCATGTAGATCTGTACCGGGGGCTTGTTTCTTATAGTCGAAGCACGGGTATCATAGCAGGATTCTCACGATCTCCAACGCTATGGTGGAAGATGGGTCATCCTCACCTTTGCGTTGTCCATCCTCGTCAAGTGCAGCGGCCCTGCCTTGATCGCCGCCCACTTAGATCTAGAGCTGTACAGACAAGCTACCTTGCAGTTGTCCGTGCAATACGGGGAGTCTGAACAGAACTGGTATCTGGAAAGCTAGTTCTCCTGGTACCCATGCAGCTCCCTAGGACGACAGTAGAGCCCCATGCGTTTAGGCTCCGACCTTTTGGCTCAGAACCGGTTACAAGTTCCGGCCGCCTCACCTAAGCCCTAAACCCTAAACCAGAATACCTCCGACCAACCCAGGAACAGATCCTGCGGGAGGAGGGCGGGGCGTCACAATGCCTCAAAGCTGTTCATCCCCTTCCCTGAGACCCGACAACCTACAGTTACACTCTAAGTAAACCCT